TTAACCTATGAAGAGTTGGAAACGATCATTGTGGAAATTGAAGCAATATTGAACTCAAGACCATTAACACCAATGTCATCAGATCCAAACGATCTTGCCGCATTGACACCAGGTCACTTCCTTATTGGTGAACCACTCACTGCACCTATAGACACCAATGTTCATGGGACAAATCACAACCTACTTACCAGGTGGAAATTGGTTTCTCATTTGAGACTGGAATTTTGGAAAAGATGGAACGCTGAGTACTTAACAGAACTACAACAGCGACATAAATGGAAGGTTCCTGTTAACAATGTCAAAGAAAACACGATGGTCATAATTAAAGAAGACAATACAGCACCACTCAACTGGCCCTTAGGTCGGGTTACGAAAGTGTTTCGAGGCGATGATGGCATGGTACGAGTAGTGGAAGTGAAGACAGTTGCAGGAATTTGTAAACGGCCTATTCATCGGCTTGCTCCACTGTTTCGAGAAGATGAAGAGAAAGACGAAAAACGAAAACATCATTCAAACATAAGCCAGGAAGATACTTTGGTAGTTCCATCAAAGAAAATAAAGTTGCCCCAACAAACAACATTATTCGCAATCATTCTCACACTATTCTTTCTGCCAATTATATTGGGCAATCCTGTAACCACAACACAGCTTAATTCAAGTATTGGTCTCTACTTCGAAAATATGGGCACTGTTCAGATGGTAACAGGTGAATGGAAAATGGTTGTTTATTATGAATTAGCTCCGGTACAGACCCAATGTAACACATTCGTTAATGGAATTTCTGCACTAGATAAATTGTGCATCAAACTACAGCAGGGTTCGGCTTGTCACACGCTCGTAGGTACGTTTGAGCATACAAGAGATGATATCCTACAGGAGAAGATTTTATTAAACAACAGACGAGATAAACGAGGAGCCATAAACCTCGTTGGAAATGTGGCAAAGGCTTTATTTGGGGTTCTGGACTCAAATTACGCAGAGGATATGTCACAAACAATAAATCAGCTAAAGGAAGATGATAACTACCTAGCTAGATTGCTGCAGAATCAAACCTCCATAATAGATTCAACATTAAATATACTTAAACGTGATGAAGAAACTGTTAATAGTCAACTTGGTCAACTTCAAGATCAAATTAGCCAAGTACTAAATCGAATCGACAATGAAACCGAACAAATTAAAATTACGCAGATATTCATATCAATTGCAATACAATTGACACTGATGGGTGCTAATCTGCAAAGAATACAAGCGGAAATTATAAATGTTTTAATTGACTCTCATCACGGAAAAATAAGTCCTCTATTGTTATCACCTCAACAACTAAAAAATGAGATCAAGCATATAAGAAGTCATATTCCGTCATCTCGACGATTTCCGGTTAATCAAGATGATTTAGTTCAACTCTACAGAATAATGGAAATATCTGGAGCAGTAACTAAGGAACAAATCATATTTGTTATTAAGGTACCACTTATAGATTCCTATGACATGGAACTATTCAGAATATTACCTATACCAACAGTTATAAACAACACCATTTTAACAATCAAAAGTGATGTCTCGTTTATAGCAGTAAACACATTTCGAGATCAATACATTCCCCTGCGAGAAAATGAGCTAGATAATTGTCAAATTCCGAACAAGGCGGTGTATATTTGTTCTAGAAAGCATATAAAACTAGGCAGATACTCAGAAACTCATACGTGTGAGATAGAATTATTTAATAATCGAACCACAACAAGCTGCAGATTAACACAGTTATCCAATAAGATGGTTTGGACGAAAATGGAACAAACAAATCAATGGATATATGCTACAGTGAATAGAACTGAGATGTCATCTGTTTGCGGAACACAATTAAATCAAGTCACAATAGAAGGATCGGGCATTCTAACTTTACGACCAGAATGTACAATAAGAAACAATCTAGTTACAATTCAAGGTCATTACTCATTGCCATCTGTAGTTCATTCATCATTTGTTCATGTAGAACAGCTTGCATCCATAACTACACCAAATGAAATAAAAACAATCATCAACAAGGCTGACGATCATCTTGAGACACAACTGAAAGAACTATCAATGTTACATCAAAGGTTAAAGGCTATGGATAAGTTTTCAGTTAAGGCCGAACCAGTTTCTCAACCACACCATATAATTAGTTACGTGGGAACTATTTTACTGCTGACATTGTGTTGCACTTACATAATATACAAATCTATGAAGAAGTGTAAACAAACCCGACGAAAAGATGATTCACCTCAATCTGAGTCCACAGCATATCCACAACCTACCCCAAGACGGCAACAACTCGTTGTGGAAGTATAAGTAGTTGAGTTATTATTATACTACTCAACGGAGGGGAGAATGTTAAGGTAGAAATTAAGTAATAAATAAATTATTTCACATTGTTAAATTGTGTCATTCAATTTATATTTTAAGCAATTTAGCAATTGTGAAATAATTTATTTTGAATATTTATGTTAAGCTGAGGCAACAACTTAACTGGAGCAACGGTGAAATATGCAACGTTGCATTTTGCATTATTAACAGTGTTCCAATTAATTTGTTGCTGAGGTATAATTATTATTAATAAAATTATTGCACAAAAATTGTATAAAAGAAATTGAAACAATAAAGAAAGTAATCAATCAATAAAAACTATTCTTTGATTCTCGTCTAAAAACCTAATTCTGCTTTATATAGAGTAAGTTTCAAGTGCTTAATCTATAACCAATAAGCAATATTCAATAAGTTAAAGTGCTTATTGACTATTATAAGGATTAAGGTATTTAAAATATACAGTAATAATTTTAATTAATTTTAATAATTTTAATTTATAGTAATAGTAATAATTAAAACATAACTTCAACCAAAGAAATAAATAATAATGACATATTAAATAAATAAGTACATAAAATAAATAATAAATAAATAAAATCAATAATAGATAAATATAAATGTAGATTTGTTTATAATTTTACTACACCGTTGCATCGCATTGCCAACCTCTTTTGCATTAAAATACGTTCCACTTTTATCTTTTACATACATTCCACATTGAACCAGAAAGTGAACCAGATCAATTGCTGGTTCACCCCATTGTTTTTGTTTTGCATGTAAAATTGAGCGGATCATGTTTGCTGAAACGCAGCTATTATTAGCGATTTATAAAAAAACACCTTGTTGCTTACTGCCATGTTTTCTCCAAAGTGTATTAGAATTGTAGTAATTTGCTCCTAAAAGACGCAAATTTTGAAATTTATTACTAAACAACACTGTTTTGCCTTAGTGTCGGGGCACAAATACGCCGTCTCTCATGCCGGAGTTTGAACGGCCATATTGTATTTTTTCTTATTCTCAAATTTAAAATTTGAATTAAAAATAACAATTGTACTCATGCCGTGCCCGAGACACTCTGCATAACATGGCCCTTAATGGCTAAATATAAATATTATGAAACAGTAATATTTTAATAAAATTTGTGAAAATGACTGACAGGTTAGAAATTGTAAATAAGTTAATTATTTATTAATGACTTTTCAATTTTTGCGTTCATAATGTAACACATGAATAAAAATAAAACAAAATCGTTAAAATAAAAGCAAAAAGTTTTAAGACAGTTTCAAGAAAAATAAAGCAATGTTAAATACTTCTCATTTAGCATTAACAAATGATGTTAGAAGTTTGGAAATTATATAAACTAATTTATTCACGATCTCGTATTGCCTATATGAATATTTATATTAAAAACTTTTTTATAAAATTCAACCGCAAATTTGTTTGGTTTTTGTTTTTTTATTTGTCATATGTTTACTGGTTTAGGCAGTTATTCTTAAGCACCAAAAGTTTTTTTATTGAAACATTCATATCAAAGAAATACATGAATGTATTGCTGGTACAATAGCAAAAACATTACAAGATCGACCAACTAGTAAACATAAGCTCGTGCAGTGTGTTGTGGACACAAGTTTGACACATATAATTGAATTACATACAATGGCTCTCAGCTTATTTCAACCAACAGTTTTAAATTTATAAAACACTGTATCTTAAAAATGAATTAGGAAACAATCAAGTTTTTAATGTAAGTGAGGCAAATCAAGCTTATTGAACATAATAAATGAAACAGAGTACATAAAATTTGTTTTTGTTTCACTCGAAGGGGAAAAACCGATTGCGTGTGTAACAGACTTATATTTCGCGCTGTGCAACGGGATTTTTGGTAACAAATGAAATTTCTTTTTGTGGATGAAATAAGCTGAAGTATTAAAGTAGGAGTATTTTTATAATTTATATATATTATTTATTTATTTCTATTTGTGCCAGTGCACTTGAGCACTTTTACTCTTTTTTAACTCGATTTATTTTTAAAACCCTTCTTTAGTATTTTTGAAGTTTCTAAATTAAACAAAAATATTTTTCTTTAAAAATGGCATTTAAATAATCGACGACATAGTTTTTTAGTAATAGCGTAAAAAAATTTAAAATTGATGTTGGATGAAATAGCTTATTTCAGAGAGTCACTGTATATATAATAATTTTTGTTTTTGTAATACAAAAATACAAATGTTGGAATAAAGTGAAAATAATTTGATGAAAACATTTATGGCCCACTGTCAAAAAGTTAAAGTAACGAATACAATGAAAACTAAATTCATTACTGCGGTATTTCTTGAATACCGAGTACAAAGTAACGGATAGTTACATTATTAGCATCTCTAATTTGCACTTGCAAAACTAAAACAAGATGAAAATGTAGTGCTATTAGTTAATATCAAGGTTGGCATCTTAAAATTTTAGTTTTCAAACATATTTAAATCTATATGTAAATCAGATTTATTAAAAATTCGGTTTTTATGAAGAAAAAGTTTTTCTGTATTTTGTGGAAAATTATACCCTACCTACCTTTTAATTCTTTTTATGTACATATACGTCTGAATATTTCTGAAGTATGTTTACATATATACACGTTTTTATGTAAATATCAAACCAAAATTGAAAATAAAGAAATTACACTACACAATATAATCAGAATGATATATTACATCACAAGTGTATGTGATTAAGAATTATTCAATATTTATACAGTAAATGTTTATGATAAATAATATCCTTTGTTTGGAAAGATGTGAATGACCAAATATTGATGTACTAAAATAGTATGGTAAATGAATTTTAATTTATGCTATATAGTATTACATATTACAGTTTCCAGTTTATGACAAGTTTAATTAAATATTTATTCTTTGTTTTTTCTGTAGCTTTCCTGTGGTATATTCTAAAAATTTAAAAAAACATGTGAAAACATGATAACCCATAGCAGTACTTGAGATGATTCGTTTAATTTGGTGCTTAATATTAAATAAGTAAAAAACTATGACAACCAATTTAATTTTTCTCAGTTGAGATTATTAAAATAATAGGGTATAATATAGTATATGACTTCTAATGTATACCTAAAAAATAAACTACAAAATGAGTCGTGAGGAAAATACTGCTAAATATGTAGCAAATAGAAAAGAAATGAATAGCAAAATATATACATCCACTCCTCAAAAAAAAATAGTGGAACATCATGCAAATACTTCTGAAATCGGACATAAAACACCTCAATGCATTGCTCATAAAAAACAAACAGAACTTGACGCAGTAATTTCTGATACCTCATTTAATACGTCTACAGCTGAGGCCCAGCCAATATCCCACAAGGAAAATGCAAATAAAATTTTAGATGAAACATCGACTTCTACTTTCCAAAATAAAGCCACAGGAACATATGCAAATTTATCTGAAATATTAGATGATAGTTATACAAATCAAAATGTTAATTTGGTATCTAATGACGGTGCTGCTGCATCAAATAGTGCTGATTGTTATATCAAAGAAGAGATTGAAAAGACAAGTTTAAATAACTCAATATCAATATTTAAGCGTTCTGAAGATATGCCCACTTTATGTTCTAATCCTCTATCTCAAATAAAACCGCAATTCGTACGAATATCAACATGTAAACATCGCAATCAAGAAGTCAGTAGTGAAGAGCTAGTTTCAGAAGACAAATTGAAAAATGGCAGTTGTTTATCCTTATTCTCTGAAGATTGTAATAAGTCATCAGGAATTCCAGATCAATCTACCACAATTGACACATCCTCAATTTCGATGAACTCCATGTTGCAGAAATCGAGCACAACGAAATCATCGTCTGGAAGTTTGACATCAATACCTGGACGTTTACACAGTGCTCTTTTGCGCAAAATATCGCATCATACATTTTCAGGACGTTCAGCATGCAATGGTATTTATTTCTTAATATAAAATATTTCAAAAAATCATTTATATAATATCTTTTTAAACATATATCACAACTTTATAAATGTTTACAAACTTATTAGATGTACCGAGTTCGAGCTAATAACTAACTTTGATCCTTAATTTCTGAATTCGGCTTTCTTTATTGCAAAATCATATTTGAAATTAAAAGTAATTACATACGAAAATCTGACGGTTATAAAAATATTAAATACTATAACATTTTTAATTGTGAATTTAGATTTGCATCTATAAGAAATTGCATCTATAACATTAAATAACTTAAAATCAGTTTTAATTACAAAAGAATATTCGTGTCTATTGGGATTGAAAATGATAAGCTTGATATGCTTTTTAACTAAATTGCAATTGGGGTGTTATAAACCAATTTTTAGTTTCATACTTGAGATTAACGTATAAAATAAATATTAAGCCCGTATTATATTTTAAAAGTTTTTGTCAAAAATTTTTGTCGGCGTTTGGTATTACACATCAAATCAGACAAAATTACTTTAACCCGTCGTCCGGCGCGTAACGTTTCAGTAACACAGTCCGTCGCGTAGGGTTGTTTAGAACCCCATTGTAAAAGTTTATTTATCAACAAAATTTTTTGAAAATATATATACTTTTTGATGGTAATATTTAGTTTCGTAAGTCAACAAATAAAAAAACATTGATTTATTACAATAATATAATTTTTAATATCATAAGTCATTTTCATAAAAACTGTATTAAATTTTCTTGCTTTTTTGGAGTCGTTTTTGTCAAAATGCAAGGCTTTTTTCACCCCATGCGCCGGACGGTGGGTTAAATACGTTCCAGCAAGACAACAACAAATATACTGCAAAATGAAATTATACGTGCATTTAAACGATGTACTCATCGTCAGTGGTCTTAGGAAATATTCCGTATATAATATAGTATATAGAATATAGTCCATATATAATTTGTTTGGACTGCAAGTGATAGGCTTAGTTTTTATGCAGCTTACTCTTTTTTAGTTTTTCTACCAAAAATTTTTTATTTAAAATATTCAGTTACTTTTTTTTAGTTTTTACCACTCTTTAAATATTTAATTATATATAATGGTTTTCTGTTTACTTGTTCTTTTTCTTTATAATTTTCCAAATTATTTAATTGAATTATATCATCCGGTGCGTTTGCTCTGGAATGGATAAATGTTCAAATTGTCTTGATCGCATCTTTATTTGTGGCAATTGTGTCTGCAAACTGTTTTACCTTTTTTCTAATATAACTACCCGATAGATGTGGATTTTTTGCTCTTCAGTAATTAATAACTATACCATAGCTTCAAACACGTAATCATATTTACATATTGCAATCCCTTTACGTTAATTATTACAGAACTCTCCTTGTAAGTTGTCCTTGTTTTTTAAAATCATTGATAAGGTGCTGCAAGGAATTTCATATTTTTCTGTTATATTTTTCTGTTATAAGTTGGAAAAGTAACTCACAAAAATATTTGAAAATATGAAGCCAAAACCAATAATTCGAGTTGTGGAGATAAATTTAAAAAGAGATGGGGAGAGACTATGTAAATTTTTACTTTGTGTTGCGGAATTATTGTAGTGAGGGGAATTCGACTTACGGAGAAAAAAAAGGAAGACTTGTTGAAAATTAAAAGTATGTACACAAGCGTTCGAGTTAGGGGAATTTTACTGTATTGTTTTTTAATAAAGGCAAATGGATATTATGAATTCATGGCTTTTTTTCAAGATTCAGTATCTTTAAAACGCAGTGTCATGCAGTATAGCTTGTACATCTGAAGATTTTGTGCACACCAGCTTATATATTCTTGAATTTTATTTCTGGTTTTCCTTTCGTCTTATTCCTACTTATTTTCAGTTATTCTCAATTCCAGACCCCAATCACTTGCAGTACTACTGAATTACTAGACAAGCTGCTTGGCATTTCATATGGTTTTTTAATACCATCATTTTTAGATTTGGAATACCTATATAAAACGACTCATAACGTCAAAGAAATTTTCAAAAAATTTAACCCTAGTCTTTATTGTTTTTATTCTCTCGCCAGATTTTCATAGCCTACCATTTTTTATATGATTTTTTAGTTTTTATATCATTTTGAACTAATTTGGCAAAAATCTCAAGTACTGAGTTATGTGGAATCTTTATACTTAATCCAATTGCAATTTTTCACAATCATTTTTCGTGTATCAACTTTTACATTGTTCTGTACATATTTCTGGTTCAAATCAACTAAAAAAATAAGGTCTACTTCATTTACCACAATAAATTTCTGTTTATTTTTATTTTGTATGAGCGCAAAATATACCATATACCCTAGTTTTACAATCTGACCCGATAATAAAAAAATACTATGTAAATCTGATATATTATTTAGTTATTGTCTGCTTTTAGTTCTCAAACAAATGAAATATTTTATTTTTGGATTCATATTGGATATCGTACCTGAGTGTAGAATCTCTTTCTTGATCACCTGTAAAATAATCGCCATAACCATCAACGCTGCCTTCTCGACTCTCTTTGCTGACTGCGATCATTGAATAGGCGTGTGTTTCCTTTGATGACATTTATAGCATTCTACATTTTTGTCCCAATTTTTCTAATTGTTTTTGTCGCTTGTATTACTTGCATTGAACTGTTGCTAAAAGTTTTAATGCTTGGTTTTATTTCTTTCATAACGATAATCTTTGATATCGACGATTTTATATCATTTGATCTATGCACCTTGTACAATTCACAAGGTGAATAGTTTTTATGAATGTTAGTTTTATTTCACTTCTACTGGACACGTCCTCTTTACACGTTTATTAAAAACTGACAAATTATACACCTTTTTAGAATTTATTATTTAATCTTTATTTTATGCAATTTCTAGAAATACAATTTACTACAATTTTGTCCGCATCCGCGTGTGCTTACGTAGAGATCGTACTTACAAGAGAGGAAATCAAACCATCGAAGTTTACTTGAAACCAAAAAAAAAAAAATATATCAAAATTACTTATTTTAAGTGTAACAATAAAAAGCAATAAAAAGCAAGAATTAGAACCGTTGGTTTGATTCCATGTTATACTAACCCCCTGTATAAATAAAACATATATTAATCGTATGATATATAAAGATAAATTATAGTATATATTATTTATATAATATAGTAATTATAACTTACAATTATGATAATATAATTATAACAATAGGTTTCAAGTGCTCCAACACACCCATATACGTCATTTACCATTTCCGTCTCCCTTCATTTCTTCCTCCCTTTTAGAGTTTTAGATATTGTTTGGATAAGCTTGAGTTATTCATATCTACTTTTAACGGAAAAATTTACAATTTCTTGATTTAATTCTATGCTGATGCTTTTGAGATTATCCACTATAATCTATCAAAATTTGACTATTGGTAATACCGAGCGCCCTCAAATCGTTGGTAACCTGGTCCTTCCATCGATGATGCATACGTCTTCAACCACGTGTTTCAACTGCGGGTACCGAATCAAACATCTGTCTAGCCGGAGCACTTTATTCCATTCGCACGATATTACCAAGCCATGAAAGCGGCTGAATCTTGTTAATGTCGCGGTATAGCTTATACAGCTTATCGTTCCATTTATTTCGCTACTTATTGCCAACACGTAAGGGACCATAGATTTTCTGAAAAATTTTTCTATAGAGTGCTCCCAACGCCTTCTCATCACTGTTGATAATTGTCTAAGTTTCTGCACTAGGGCTTTATTTCTTATTGTCTACTTTGCCCAAAGTAAAATCTATTACCAAAAGTGATTCATTATCTTGTTATAGTCAAGATCCGCACACGTCTATGTGCGATATAAAAGCTACGTGAATAAGCACAAAAAAAGCTAGACTTCGAAAAACTTCAATCACAACAGTCAGCTGGTTGCTTTGCTACTTGACTCTCCCAATACCTCAATAAGGATCCTAATAGGATCGGCTAATTTCTGTGCCAAAACAGAAATTAGCCGATTAAAATTTTGTATTTTCTGGACCATTAGAGATATTAAAATCAAATTTTCTTAAAACTTTATTTTTTATAATATGTGCATTATAAAACATAACATCACATAATATAATATGAGATAACTTCTCTTGAAATTTGAAATCGATTTGCTTGAAATTTGAAACATAAATATAATATAATAAATATCCTTATATTATTATTTATTAGATATGTTAAAATTAATAAGGTTTATTGAAGGCCGTATTTTACATTTTTCAATGATTTCTGAGGCGTGAAATAGGTATAAAATATAGAGAGCGCAGTAGGAAAAATTTTATGAAAAAATTCTTAGACCATTTGTGGATATAGAGATAGAAATGAAAAAAGCCTTAAAAAAATAGCTGACTTTTTGTGCTTTTTCACTTATAAAATTTTATTGATAATTATCAATTGAAATTTTTTCTACACTATGAATTACAATATTCTAAAAATAAAAAATAATCATATTTGAATAAGTAGTAAAAAAATTATAAGGGTTTAAAGTTCGCCTAATTTTTGGAAAATCGGAATTTCGTTAACATTGCAAATAACTTAAGAACAAATGAGCGGATCACGCCCATTTATAAATATATATAGTCTAATAAGAGAAAAGGCTTCTTATACGATAATAAACGAATTTTTTATGAAAATTTTTGGCACTAAATTTAGAGGGGTTCCGGTAGCCGATTGGGCTTAAATTAGCTTCAAAAGAAATGTCATCTGAAAAATAAAGTTTTATAAAAATTTTATTTCAATATCGCTACTGGTTTAAAAAATACAGAATTTTGGTCGGCTAATTTGTTTTGGCAAATTAGCTTTATTTTGCTGGTGGATTTACAATTAATCCACCTAACCTCATGCAACAATAATTTATGAAAATCAATTAATTTGAAATGAATATATAAACATTAAGTTGAATACAGAACAATAAATAAGGAAACAGGCTCTCCAACATACACGTTTATAAAAAAAACCATTGCAAACTGCTTGCAAGTTTAACCCTCCGATAGGCACATGGGTCTGGCCAGACCTTTTTTGAATTCAAACACAATTTAAACACATTTCTAATTTAGCTAGCGATTTGAAATTTCAGGTACCCGCCTACAATTTTATTGACTACAGATCTGCCAAAAATCGTGGCGATAAAGCTTACAGAAGGATAATTATAAGCATGTTTTGGTGTACACATCACATACGGTACTCAAAGGTCTGGCCAAACCCACATACAATTTGTATGAAAAATGATGGCATTTTTAGCATTTTTCACTTTTTCTTAGTATATCTATGCTAAAACTGTCGGTTTAGACTATTGAAAAGCTTATGTTGTTTATTAATAACAAAAAGCAAAAAAAATTGATGTGAACCAAACAATAATTACCAAAATATACGTAAATATATTGGAATATCTGTGTCCGAAAATCATACACGTATTCGCCAAATACATCAAAATCTCAAATGAAATATATTTTGTTAATTTAATAAAAAGAAAAGTTTATTAAAATAATAATTTAATAATATAATATAATTTATAAACATTATATATTTATATATTTATTATATATTCAAAAAAAAAATTTAATTGGATTCACTGTAGACGTGAAATGTCGTGAAAATTCGGCGAATTTTAATCATTTCAGAATTGTGCATTCTATGCCAGTATTCTTACTAACTTCCTAAAAACAGGTGTTTCCCACGATTTTACTAGGAGTAAAATTCGGCGAATTTTAATTTCAGAACTAGGCATTCTATGCGAGTATTCTTACTAACTTCCTAAAAACAGGTGTTTCCCACGATTTTAATATGAGCAAAATGCGGCGAATTCTTAATTATTTCATAACGGTGCACTTTTGCGGGTATATTTGTTAAATTTAAATGCAACGTGAGAATCGTTTTTTCAAATGGTAGTTTGTTTACTTCAAAAATATTTTTTGCTGTTACCTGCAATGGAATGAATTTTATATAAAAGGAAGCCAAATTATAGTTTCGATCTATTTGAAACGTAGTCTCAGTGGTGGTTTCAGCAAACATCTTCGAAACATTTGTTTTTACTAAAATTTATTATTTTAAAAATGAGTGATGAAATTGAGTTGCTTTATAACACGCAAAACCTCAGTGATGAGTTCGACCCCTCATTTTATAATCGCCTAGCAGCAGCTTTAGCCAACGATATGGAATTAGAGGAAGCTATAGAGGACCATGAAGAAGTAGATCAGTTTCCCAATGATGAAGCAGATAATGATTCAGATTTCATACCAAATGAGGACGATGCATCTGATATTGAAGACGTATTAATTATCGAACCAAATGAACTATTTGATGTAGAAGATAACGATGAAGAAGCTCCTGCAACACAACAACAAAGTGTTGGCGAAGAATATTTTTATGGTAAAGATGGAACAAAATGGAGTAAAAATGAATTGAATGCTGGTGTTCGCATACGTCAACACAATATTATGCGCTTCCGACAGTCTTGCAAAGAATTACAGCCCGCATGAAAACATCACAATTGATGAGCAACTGTTCCCCTATCGTGGCAAAACAAAATTCACGCAATATATACCATCGAAACCAGCCAAATATGGTATTAAAATTTGGTGGACCTGTGATTCTAAAACAAAATACCCTTTACAGGGAAAATTGTATACAGGCCGGGAAGTCGGAGCTACACGTGAAATAAATCAAGGCGAAAATGTTATGCTACAACTCTCAAAAGCATTGGTTAAGCATTCGTTGGAACTATTCGTTCCAATAAGAGATGTATACCAGATGAAATGAAAAGGACCACACGCTCATTTTGGTCTCATTTTACGACCAAACGCCCAACGAGAAGATAGACTTTTGCTTTTTTCTGCAATATGATAGATGTTGCAGCATTGGCTGCATTTTGCATCTGCAAAGAGGTTGATGGAAATAAAAAATTGGATGCCAGACGGAATTTCTTAGTCACGCTATCAAATACCTTGGCCCTTCCAAATATTTAAGGCGAATGCAAAATGTCCACATCACCAAACAGTTCATCACACGTTCGGCCATGGAATCGTTTTTCGGTAAACAATTACATTTTACAGCACAAGTCCTGACTGGCGTTAGTGGGGCAGATACCCTCGAGAAGAAGAAAAATTGCAACATTTGTTCAAAAGGTGAAAAACTATCCCGCAAAACCCGTTTCTTTTGCATCAAATGTTCAAATCCAGTTTGTCAACAACATTCTAAAGTTGAATATATATGTTTTAATTGTTGTAATAATGGCTAAATAAATGTATATTAGTTCTAGTTAAATTTATATTATTTATTTTAATAAAATAATAAAATGTTACTGCATACAAATGTCACTTTTTTTATTTTTTCGATATTTTTTTTAGCAAAAATGTAATAAAATATGAAAATTAATAAAAATCCAAGCTAAACACAATTTAAAATATATAAATATATCGCATATTAATGCAATAACTCATTAAAGTACTCAGTTTTTACGTACAAATGCATGAAAACGCATAAGGGTCTGGCCAGACCCATGAGTACCGTACGTGACTATCGAAACATGTGCCCATCGGAGTGTTAAGCTATATTCATGCTTCCTTTTGAAATAAGCCTAATTGCTAAGGTGAGGTGCATTTATTTTAACATGTGTGCTGTCAATCACGAACGGAAATTTTGCAATTGATATAAGCTAAACACTAGTTCTTTCAATTATTCTCCTTACAGAAGCTTTTGGTATGCCAAAACAAATACCAAATTCGCGAAAAGTATTTATATTTTCCATATACCACAAAAATATGTAAATTTCCTTCATTGTTCTAGTTCAATTGTGACCACCACGGTTATTTTGTATTTGCTGATTGGAATTTATAAACAAACCTATTCAATTATAAAATATAATTAATAAATAGCAATTGTATTTTTATTTGTATAAATAATTAGTAGTACATCTTTGAAGTCTAAAGTTTTTCCTGAAGTCTTCAATGGAAAAATTTTTGATCGTTTCCATA